GGAGAGTCAGTGCCGTGACACAGCTTAAAACCTGGGCACCTTTTCATCACCCTCACCCTCATCACCACCCCCGTCACCCTCTCGCCCAAACACCGCGGGCTACCAACCTGCTCCAGGGCTCCAAAAGTGCCCACAGCGTTGACCCACGCGAGAACAGGGCCTTTGTTGTCTGTTGCTCCCCGTCCGTAAAGCTTTCCTTTAACAATGAGAAGAATTTTCGGAAAAGCGTTGACATCTCCACCAGGTTGAGTGTGTTAAGAATGAAGCTATTTTAGGGGAATCATTTTAACGGAGGAGCTCTGGTAACCTAGTGCCTAAGGCACTTGACTGCTAACCGGAAGGCTGATGGTTCAAACCCACCAGCCACTCCTGGGAAGGAAGGTTGGGCAATCTACTTCCGCAGTGATACCACCTGGGAAACCCAAGGAGGGGTCGGTATGAGTCAGGTTTGACTCCACAGCACATAACAACAACATTTTAATGGTGCTTCATTTCTTCAAGCAAAAATCTTGCTCTGGGATTGCAAAGCAGGACTTCTCGCGTGTTAGCATTGTGGCCATCAGCTAGGAAAGATCATTTGAAACACGAGAACCCTTTGGCCTTCCTACAAATTGGCTACTGTATCCCCACCTGCTGGGAGGAACCTGAAGGGCTGTTCCAGAATGCCAGGAGGTAACAGCCCCTCATTTGAGACTTTATAATTAGCAAAGGAAGGGAAAAAAGATATATTTCCATTAACTTTTCTTTCTTCTTTTTCTTATAAAATATGAATGGCCTTCAGTACTTCTAGAAAGGAAATGTGTAAGCCTCACGACTACGTCCCTCATTCCTGCCTGGGGAGGTTGCTCACCCAGGGCACATACCTGTGAATCTAGCTTCCTTGACAAATGAGAAAAAGCAGCTACCCTGGGCCAACTGGTAGACTAAGAGGACAGCATTTCTATCTGCTCTCAACAATGCCAGGCCCAGGCCTGGAGCCTGGGACCACATCACATCTTGAACTCTTGAGCCCAACACACGATCCCTTATCCACAGAAGCACAGCTCTGATGTAGCATCTGTCACTGACCATCGGCCTCTGTCAGGGTGTATGGGTCTGAGAGCCACCCATCCTCCTTGTTGGCTGGCTGCACATCCAAGTGGCCATAAAAGCACACAGTGGGCTTCTTTGGGTCGTTCCCCAGCTCAGCCAGGATGACGGGAGGAATTTGAAGATTCTGCCCATCAGGAAACTGCAAGAGGAGAACGCATCGTGAAGAACTGCTGGTTCTTACAGAAAATCCAAAGGACTGCCATTAGGAATCCCGCATCTACCACTGGGTCCATGTAGCGCCCGTGTGATTTTCTGATCTCCCATATCTCTAAATACGTAACATGAGACATTTCAAATTAAGATATAAATCACAATTAGAGTCAAGCACTTCCTTAGATACCCAGGGACTAACAGTATAGTTAACTGGACATGGTCTTCAGTGAGAGCTTAGATCTCAAGGAGCTTACTACAATTGGTGGCTAGAATCCTAGAGCACAGGCCACTCACAGACACGTCCACCTGGATGCAGGTGGCGTCAGTGTTAGGTTTAAGATCGCCATTGGTGATTGAATGGAAGCTCTGAATATCTGACAGGACCATTTAAGAAAGATGAACTTAAATGTAAGGGAAGGGGCAATTTAGATCGACCCCATGCAGTGCAGAATGTGACTAGACATTGTGGTCTTCCCATACGAAGTTGACCTTGACTCACTCCCTCCACTTGTTTTGAACCCTGTCCCACAGTTCCATATGACTACAAATCAATCATACATTCTTTTGGGTCTAAGTAGAATCCTTAATTCTTGTTTAGAACAAAAACTATAGGG